ATCATGCCAAGACAATAAAAGGTACCAACTCCTGTTGCTACTTGCCCGACATCCATTTCCTAGTTCAGTGATGGAGAACCTTTTAGAGACCAAGTGCCCAAACTGCAACCCAAAACCCACTTATTTATTGCAAAGTGCCAGGGCTGCATCAGCATTGTGGTGCTCTCAGGAGGAGCAGGGGGGCGTGGCCCACTCGGTGGACATGGCCACTGAGTGGGCATGACCACTGAGTGGGCATAGCTACAGTGGTCACAGCTGCGGTGGTCATAGCAGACAGGATGAGCGTGGCCGGGGCATCCACAGGGGGCCAATGCCGCTTGCTTGCTCACTTCCTGCCCTGTCACTTCCAAATGCCACATGCTCGCTACTCTGGCGAACTCTGCTGGGGTGACGGCGTGCGTGCCCACAGAGAGGGCTCTGAGTGCCGCCTCTGGCACACGTGCCATAGGTTCGCCACCACTGTCCTAGTTGCTGGGGAATGTCTAGGGGACATGGGTCACACAGTCTGCTCCTCAAATTGTGACCCTGGTTCATTACATGATCTTTTCAACTAAAAAAGTGGGGGAAAGAAGTTCTCTTCTTCTGAATAGAAAGCACAGAATGGGACAGCTTGCCACAGCCAACTCCCTGTGGCTAACTCACCATAGCCAACTTACTGCAGGACAACTTGCCATGGCCATCTTGCTGCAGGACAACTCAGCACAGGAACAGTCAACAGTTCAATATAATTAAAAATTTATTTCAATGTTTGTCATTCACATTTCATTTTGTCCCTCCTTTTGCATCATTTTTTTTTAGTAATTCTATTTTACCATTTCTTCGAAATTAGTGTGACTCTTATCCCGCAGTGAGTTGATCCATGGCGAGTTGGCTGTGGTGAATTGTCCTAGACCCTAGAAAGCATGGGCTTCATTAATTAAGTCATTTCTAATATGAACGATGACAGGCAACACATCAACCTATCGCAACCTTGTCCCTGTAGCTCCAAATGTCTATGTGCCTGCTGGATCACTTGAGGTGAGGGGAAATAAATTCTGCATATGGCAAAGTCTCCATTGCTTTATTGTATTGTTCGTGTTGCAGATCTAGACTGAAAATAAATTCTTGGCTCACAGCCTGGATGTTCTAAGGAAACTCTGGGCATGATTTTTAAATAGGAGGGGCATTTGTGGATGCTAACAACAAAACTTGCAATCAAAATAACTTTTGGCAGTAGGATAGTTTAGAAGTATGCTTTGAAATTCCTCAACCATTGGGGCAGGGGGAAAAGATGGCAGGGAGGGAGGGAGGGAGGGTGCTTCTAAAATCAACCAAGAGCATAAATTTTTGCCAGGGCTGACTTGTAAAAGAGGTTGCAAATGAACCTTAACAAATGGCCATGTAAAGATTGGCTGCTTTTCCTGCTCTCTCAAAAGGATACAGTGAAGGGAAGGATTATCATTCTAATAATTTTCTCTACCCTCCATCCTGTGCTTGACCATTGAGGCATACCATAGAGTCATTTCAAAGATATAGAAGGGACCTGACACAATCCAGAGGATGGTGTAGCATCTGAGAACATGTGTGGCAGAAACAGTTGTCTTGGAAGCATTACTATATCAAATCCTCTCTGCAGGTGGAAGTTTTACCCACCAAAGGTGATGCTTGCCTAGTCTTTGTCTTTGTTGCAAGAGTTTCATATGTGGGGAAGCCATGTGGTATACCACCATGGGGCATCTGAATGTGCTTCCATAATGACTCCATGCAACTTTTAGTTGGAAAAAAAACCTCTTTGACCACTTAAGCACAGAAAGCATAGAGGACCAGATTTGAGATGTCAGGGAGAATCCACAAGTGAGAAAGGAAGTAATTCTTGTCAATGCAACTTCAGGAGGACCTGACAGGAAATTCACAGGAGGGGGCTAGCCAAGCTCTGAGAGACCACCTGCCTTCTTAGGCTGCCCGGCTTTTTTCTCTGCTCGATGTAACCCACATTTCTCCTGCAGCCAATGCTGCTTCCAAAACCTATAATTCTCTCCTTAAAAAAATTACTCCCTCTCCATCATATTTCTTTTCAGCACTGTTTCAAAAGTTACATCTCTTTAAAAGCTGCACATGGAACTTGTCTTCATCACACCTCAAAAACAAATTAAAAATGCCACCAAGATAAGTATCTATCATACATCATACACCGCTTCCGAGAGCACATGGGCCAGGAAGCCCAAGCCACTGTGGTGTTGTGTGCTGCACACCAAGCACACATTTTCAGCTCAACACTTTCTTTATATGTGGAACTCCACTTGGGATGCCATATTCACTTATGTGCAAAGAAACTAGTTGGTTGGAACCGATTCACAGCCCTTTCCCATCACTTTCTAGTCAGCATTTAATAGCTTTTCAGAGAAATGTGAACTGTCTCCATCTGAAATCCTTCCACTTGCTTCAATTCCAATTGAAATAAACCTTCATTCACAAAATCATCAACTGAAGTGCATGTCCATGAGGATTCTGGCTCTGATTTTCAGAAAAATGCAGCTAGATCACCAATTTCCTCCCAGTTTGTGATAATCACACAGTCTGTGGCTTTGATTTTCCATACTATTCTCTTCCACTCTCAATGCTAGCCGCTTGATTTATTTTGACTTATATGTCTTTGACATCAATCTCTTGTTCGCAGTACGGCTGACCATCCCAGGACCAGAGAGCAAGTAACATGGTTTCCTGCTGTTGACAATGAGCTCCCATTCCAACAGAAGTCAGATAAGCAACAAATAACCCAAGTGAAAATTAAATATAGGGCCAAATTGCACTTTGTGCAGATTTCCCTAATTCTATGTAGAATGAATTCAAAGTACTTATGAATAAAATGGCCAACTCATTCACCCCACCATATATTTCTCCTTTTCTAACTGCATGTTTGACAGGCCAACTTGTAAACATCAATCGACCTGTTCTAAATATCCCACAATTTTCATAAGGATTAGTCCTAATAAATGTAAATGTACTGCAGGCTCAATTTTAAAACATTTCCAAATTGCTTCTCTGTTTAAAAAGGAATGTTTAAAACAATGTTATGATTATTTCAGAATAACTGTAGGGACATTTTCAAGAGAATGTTCTCACTTCCCTACAAGATTTATCAAGTAGTTGTCTGGGCACTCTAATAAAGGGACTGTAACATTTCCTGGATGTATAAGCAAGTATCTGTCAGATGAGATGTATTAATCACATACCATTCAGAAATGTTGTAAATAGGAGACTGCCAATATTGTTGTAACAACACTTCATTAAAGTAAATCTGAATTCTAACAAAACTAAGAATAACTTTACCACTTGCGAAATTTTTCAATAGACTTTTTAAAAATAATAATAATAAAATTTGAGAGTAGTTACTTCTATGCAAAACTTCCTTCAATGAAGAATGAACTATTCAAACTCATTGTGAATTCTAGTGTTTTTCCATTATTCCTTCAAGCATATGCTAGTATCTATTATTAGCCTCCATCTAGCTGGAGACCTTATTGCCAGATATCAATGAACTACAACATCCTGGCTGATAGTGATGGATGCTACGAACTGTACTTCACCAACATCTGGAGTTCTATAGGTTCCTAACCTATTTCAAACAGATGCGCAACCTGGAATGTAGGTAATTCCAGCAAGTCTCATGAACCTTTGCAAACACCCATTCAGATATGACATTAATTCTAAAGGTGAGATGGCAGTTCTCATGTAATGTATAGAAATATGGAGAGCCATTTCACCACATCAATATGGCAGCATTTATGTAAGTAATTGCATGGGTATAACCAAAGCCTGATTCCTTTACAT